CGAGCAGTGAGTATGGTATCTCGCAGATCATCTCCCATGATTTCCATGCGAGGCCCTCCCTCAGATGACCTTGTTGATCATAAAGGACCAGAACTGGCCTCAGGTCGTTGCACCGCCTTTCCCCAGTGTCGCCGTCCCAGAACACATCCAGACTGTCGTGCTCTATCACTTTCATGGCCAAGGGGCGATCATCTGAGATGTTTCTCCTTGCAAAGTTGGGACGTTCGTGTGAATCTTGTGTTGTGATGATGCCAAGGGGCGATCATCTGAGATGTTTCTCCTTGCAAAGTTGGGACGTTTGTGTGAATCTTGTGTTGTGATGATGCCCTGCGAGGACCGGACTGCAATTTGTCATTCCTTTTCGACTGAGTTGTAGCGGAAGGGCAAGAAGGGGATCGTGGGGGAGAGGGTGTGAGCATCGAGTGTGGCTGCCACTGTCAGGTCCTGAGGGTTGTGGTCTGCGATCTTGTTGAGGGAGTGAGTCCCAACTCCAGATTTTGTTCCTGCAGGTAATTTGTTTGCCTCTCTAGAATGACAATTTGTCTTCTTTTTTCCTTCTTGAGATTGCACTTTTGTCTGTACAGATTGTTTGGTAGGGAGATCATTTTCGTTTCATCTGTTTCTTGTTCTTTGATGCTGCTGGAATTTGGAGGTACATCCGTGCTTGGGGCCACTATGGCCATGTATTCGCACAGGTAAGAGTTGGGCTACTCGTTTGGTTGCTCGTTTGATTGGGGGGGCTGAATGCAAAGTTCCTGTGCTGGTATCAGTATCCATTGCTTCATTGTGCTGATCAGCGTATTGCAGGGCCAGGAATTCTGAGAAAGAGTTCTCTGCTGGCAGCTCTTCGTAGCGATTGGGAGAGCACTAATAATCAATACGCCCATCTTCTTTACCCTGCGGTACATGGCCTCCATATGGTACCCCTCGGACGACGACCTAAAGACCTCAAAGCCAGAGTCAGATGCTTCGTGTGGACAGGAGACCCGAACAGAACAACCTGCATCGACAAAGTAGCCTGGCATTACATCATCAGGAAACCTATAGAAGGAGGCCTGGGTATAATAGACCCTAAACAGGAAGCAATCACACTCCAGATGAAATGGATGATCAAAATCCTGATTGGACAGGCCTTGCCGTGGACCAAAATGGCCTTAGACAGCATAAGGAACCTGGCACCTGTTAGGACCCCTCCCAACACGAGCGGCCTGTTCTGGATAATGGCCAGAGAATTGTCAATTGGGACAGGAAGGCCTCGAAGGAGCACCCTACCTCAACCACCGGAACAGGCCAGCCCGACCCCAACCCCATGTTGGAAGCCATCCCTGAAGGCCTAGCGCAGACTCATGCCAAGTAAGCACGGCGCTCCCAACAGCAAGGAGGAAGCGCTCAGACAGCCCCTATTCTGCAACCCATGGATCACAGACACAGAGGGCAACCCCTGGACTCTGCACCCCAAAGACTGGAAATGGTTGTCTTGGCTAGAAAAGGGGTGTGGCAGGTCCAACACCTATGGTCAGAGGAACTTAGGGATTGGATGACAGAACAAGAGATGCGAATCCCGCTGAAGTGGTGCCACTCTCTCAAGAGTCAAAACCAATATCTCTCTGGTACGACAGAGCATCCCACACCGATGGATGGCCCTGCTAAAAGAAGAGTTCACATGGAAAGCTGAGGACTGGGGCCTACTCATCGCTCAGACCCAACCCAGGAAAGCGTACTGGTTCATCAGTCGCCTCACGGGAACAAGCCACCGGGCCAAGTTCGTCTCGTACCCGACCGACAGTCAGAACCTCCAGAAATAAAAAATTATAAACTCTGACCCCCAGTATGAGATCCTAGAAACTTTCGTACTCAGGAAGGTCAGGGTCCCTCAGACTAAGCCATGGGCGATCTTTCAACCAGAACTCAGCATCAAGGACTTGGAATTCGACCCCAAGGAATGAATCTGGAGGCAAGACAAAACGAGCAAAACGAGAACAATATTTGCATACGATGTTAAGTTCAGGTACGATCTTGGACTGCAGACGGTAAACCCGAACCATGGAGAAGGCTACTGGAGGTCAACCCGACAGTCTCTCTCACCATCCCATGGGCGAAATACCTCCTCATCAGACCGGTAAGAATCCGTAGCATGCAGTGGCTGATAGCCCACGCGGCCCTACCTGTCAACCGCTGGCTCCACAAAAGGAGAAAACACTCAGACCCGAATAGCTCTGAACTATGTCTGATGTGTAACACTGACACACCAGAAGACATCCTGCACTGCCTTCTCTTCTGGCCCGAAGCATCCTGGATCCGGAACAATATGGCTCACCCTCTTCTCCTCACCACCCCCCGCCATTACCCCTCTAACCATCCTACTCCTACCCAACAGCCCCCCGGACCTCAAGGGCGGTAAAGAAATCTGATTCAAACAACTCAAGGAAGCTGGCACTATGGGTCATCTGGAAACGCAGCTGTACTCAGACAATCGAAAAGACAGAAGTTGTAAGAGAGGAAATGTGGAGCCTACTGCTGAGGATGGTGGAGATTGAAATCCGGAGCAGCTGGCGCAGGATAATCTCCTCGACAAAGCACAGACCTGAGACACAAGCCATCAAGAGACGGACATTCCTGAGGGATTGGCTGATATGGGGCAAGGTCGCCACCATAGCCGAGAACAGGCTGGTATGGACGAAGTGGCATAAGCGGGCACACCATGACACCCAACATCAAGAAGGGCAAGACAGACTGAACAACAGGAGCGATGCTGACCCTCCAGCGATTCTTGTTAAGCAAAGCGTTTTCAGACAGGATCGGACACGGTTCTGAGAGGAATAGCAGGAAAAGGGCAAGCTGACAGTCAATCCTCCACCAGGGAGTAATCAATGCTGGTCAGGGTTCCTTTGGCCATACGGAAGGAAGCATGAGAGTGTTCACCATGTATTTATTCTTTGACTTGCAGGGGGAATAGTAACCGGACTGACGCCTCCAGAATGGATAAGGAGCCAGGACCATAAGGACCTGTTCAATTAAAAAAAAAAAAAAAAAGAGGCTGCTGTCCATACCTGTGCTGTTGAGTCAGGAACACCGCCATCGTCATTGGGCAGTCATATCTACGGTTCTCTGTTAAGGAGAACTTCATCTTCTTCGAAGTGGTCTTGTTCTTCATCAGGAACACAGGTGTTGCACTTCCATTTGGGCGCCGGACATGTGCTACTTTACTGGGGTGCTAGTTCAGATATTGCTCCGGGGTGATAGTGTCGAGCGTTGGTTGCTATGGAAGCCATAGCCAGGGTATGGGGTGGCGAGGAGGAAGAAGGAGGTTCCAATTATTTTCGTTGAACTTGTGTTGAGGGTTGTTCAAGGTTGTTGAAACGCAGTTGGGATCCTTGGACTTCAGTGCTTTGATCGAATTGGGGAGAGATGGTAATAATCAGAATTGGATCTCATGCAACTCTATTTCGGGGTCAAGCTTCTGCTGTGCACATCTCGGTGTTGGTTTGGTGTGGATTTTCACCCTCCAATTCAGCTCTCCAATTGCATGTGTGTATGGGAACGTGTGAGTTGGGTGTGGGTTGCTTCTCAATCAGGCACATAACAGATCGTTGGGGATCAGAGCACTCAATCGCATAGGCATTTTCTGTTGCAGTTTGTCTGTTGTTTGACATGGCTGATGCCCTCTACATTTGCGCATCATTGATTCTTTACTGTTAAAAAAAACGAGACAGTTACTTTTGGGCAAACCGTACGTCTGGATCCTGATCCAGCCAGTCCGGTGTCTGGGTCTGGTGTCCGGTTCGGAGGGTCTGGTTGGACCCCAATTTCGAAAAATTCAAAAAAAAAAAATGGGGTCCCCAGGCCCTTTTTCTGGGCCTGGGGTACCCCGGAAAAATATTGCTGATGTTTTTTGCGAACCGGTACCCCAACCGGACCGGCCCTGAAAGGGCCCTCTATATGAAAAGTTGAAAACACGGGAGCACAGTAGCAGCCCCGCCGGCGGGAGGACCCGATTTTCGAACGTCGAAGAGTGGCAGCCCCGGTCGAAGAGTAGCAGCCCCTGAAGTCGCCTCGTCCAGCAGAGCTGTCGTCGAAGTTCCTGCCCGCTGCAGTGCCATCAGGTCTGCCATGTTGCCGGCTGAAGCTCCACCATCGAGGTCAGTGGTGGGGCCAATGAGAATGTTGCGGAGGAGGAATACTGTGACTCCCAAGAGCAGTCCGCTGGTGCCGCATCCAAACCGGCAAAATGCAAGCCGGGAAGACCACGGAAGGTCGTGGAGGAGGAAACTTCTGTAATGGAGGAGAGCAGCGGACTGGCGAGAATGGTGCGGAGGGCCGGGAGGGGATCGCCTTGATTCCGAAGAACAGCCGCTTGCAGCCTTGCACGCAAGAAAGCAAACAATCAGAGTCAACAGACTGAGGCGCGATACTTGGGGTGTGTAGAACTGACACTTGGGGGCTGGAGCGGGTGTGGAACTTTGCTGTGTGTGTGTGTGTGTGTGTTTGTATCATGTGTGCCGGTTCAAGCGTCCAAGTTCCGAACTTTGAGGTTCGGAGAACTTAGGGCGTTAATAAACTTAATATTTCCAATATGATTAATAATTAATTTATTAGGATGTCCGACCAGTCCCACAAAACTGTGTATGTCTGTGTACGTGTCCTGTTTTT